AAATAATTTGGGATTTAGAGGACAGGAGGGGGAGAGGTTGGAGGAATCTTCACACTCCTCACCTGGGCTGCACAAAAAACATCCCAAATTCTTGGTCCTAAAACATCCCAAACCCAGAGCTTCTGAATCCCCAAAACATCCCAAACCCAGCGGTTCTGAACCCCAAAAATATCCCAAACCCAGCGGTTGTGGGCCCCAAAATCATCCCAAATTCCCAAATCCCAGTGGTTCTGGGCCCTAAAAACACCCCAAATTCCCAAATCCCAGTGGTTCTCAGCACCAAAAATATCCCAAATTCTCACCCCAGAAACATCCCAAATCCGAGTGGTTCTCAGCACCAAAAACATCCCAAATCCCAGTGGTTCTGGGCCCTAAAAACACCTCAAATTCCCAAATCCCAATGGTTCTCAGCACCAAAATCATCCCAAATTCTCACCCCAAAAACATCCCAAATCTCAGTGGTTCTGGGCCCCAAAATCATCCCAAATTCTCACCCCAAAAACATCCCAAATCTCAGTGGTTCTCAGCACCAAAAACATCCCAAACCCAGTGGTTCTGAACCCCAAAAATATCCCAAATTCTCACCCCAAAACCATCCCAAACCCAGCGGTTCTGGGCCCCAAAACATCCCAAATTCTCACCCCAAATTCATCCCAAATCCCAGTGGTTCTCAGCACCAAAAATATCCCAAATTCTCACCCCAAAAACATCCCAAACCCAGCGGTTCTGAATCCCAAAAACATCCCAAATCCCAGTGGTTCTGGGCCCCAAAATCATCCCAAATTCCCAAATCCCAGTGGTTCTCAGCACCAAAAACATCCCAAATTCTTGGTCCCAAAACATCGCAATCCCAGCGGTTCTGGGCCTCAAAACCATCCCAAATTCTCACCCCAAAAACATCCCAAATTCTCACCCCAAAATCATCCCAAACCCCAGTGGTTCTGGGCCCTAAAAACACCCCAAATTCCCAAATCCCAGTGGTTCTCAGCACCAAAAATATCCCAAATTCTCACCCCAAAAACATCCCAAACCCAGCGGTTCTCAGCACCAAAAACATCCCAAATCCCAGCGGTTCTGGGCCCCAAAATCATCCCAAATTCCCAAACCCCAGTGGTTCTCAGCACCAAAAACATCCCAAATCCCAGCGGTTCTCAGCCTCAAAAATATCCCAAATTCTCAGCTCCAAAAACATCCCAAACCCCAGCGGTTCTGAACCCCAAAAACATCCCAAACCCCAGCAGTTCTCTGCCATAAAAACATCCCAAATTCTTGGCCCCAGAACATCCCAAACCCAACGGTTCTGGGCCTCAAAACATCCCAAATCCAGCGGTTCTCAGCACCAAAACCACCCCAAATTCTTGGTCCCCAAAACACCGCAAACCCCAGCGGTTCTGAGCCTCAAAAACATCCCAAACCCCAGTGATTCTGCATCCCCCAAACATCACAAACCCAGCGGTTCTGGGCCCCAAAAACCATCCCAAACCCCAGCGGTTCTCACCACCCAAAACATCCCAAATGTCAGCGGTTCTCAGCTCCAAAATCATCCCAAATTCTCGCCCCCAAAACATCCCAAACCCAAAGGTTCTGGGCCCCAAAACCATCCCAAACCCAGCGGTTCTGGGCCCCAAAACCATCCCAAACCCAGCGGTTCTGGGCCCCCAAAACCATCTCAAACCCAGCGGTTCTGGGCCCCAAAACCATCCCAAACCCAGCGGTTCTGGGTCCCCAAAACCATCCCAAACCCAGCGGTTCTGGGCCCCAAAACCATCCCAAATCCAGCGATTCTGGGCCCCAAAACCATCCCAAATCCAGCGGTTCTGGGCCCCAAAACCATCCCAAACCCCAGTGGTTCTCTGCCCTCAAAACCATCCCAAACCCGTCGGGTTATGGGCCCCAAAATTATCCCAAACCCAGCGGTTCTGGGCCCCCAAAACCATCCCAAACCCAGCGGTTCTCAGCTCCAAATCCCAGCGGTTCTGGGCCCCAAAACCATCCCAAACCCAGCGGTTCTGGGCCCCCAAAACCATCTCAAACCCAGCGGTTCTGGGCCCCAAAACCATCNATCTCTGGGATCAACCACAGACCACAGATTCCCCCCACCCGGCCTGGGCGCACACACACCCACCTGGATGTTCCTCTTGAGGATCTCCCGGGTGAGCTGCACCTTGCCCGTGCTGGGATCCACGCCCGCCAGCGGCACCATCACCTCCCCGATCACGTCGTCGCGGGAGAAGCGGTCGAAGCTGAGCACCAGGAAGTGCAGCACCAGGTCCTGCAGCTGGCTGTAGGGCACGCCGTAGAACGTGAAGGTCTCGTCGAACACGGGCTCCAGGGTCTTGCGCAGCACGCGGGTCTTGACGCGGTGCCTCTTGTCGGGCAGGATGGTCATCTTGATGTAAGGGTCGGAGCTCTGCGTGTGCTCGTCCATCACGGGCAGCCCGTGCGCCTCCTGGATGGTGACCACCAGCGCTTTTTTGGGGAAGTTGTAGTCCACGGAGAAAGTCAGCTCTCCCAGCATCACGTCGTCGCCCGGAGAAGAGGGAGAGGAGGTTTTGCTTCCTCCCGGAGTGAGGCTTTGATCTGGGCTGAGTTCATCTCCGTAATCCACCTTGATGGGGAGCTGCTCCACCGGCGGGGGTCCG